CTACGAGCATTTAATATAAGGGAAATGAGGTGGTAAATGAAAAGAGAAAAACAGTATATTCACTTTAGGAGATGGCTTCTATGGATCATAAACCTGAGTAACTCTCACCCAGAATTTAGAGACAAGAGCAGAAGCCCTATTTTTTAAATGTAGAATGAAGTAGCTATCAATTGGTCTTTGCTGAAGGAAAAGAGCCTCAGATATGAAATGAGTACTAGAAAATGGCTCGCATATTCATAGTCTCACATGGTATGACAGCTGCAGTCTCTCGGTCCAGATTCCCTTAGAAACTTCATTCCAAATAATGAAAAGCTGCAGCGTTGAAGGGAATGGGTCCAGAGGCAGAGCTTGGAACTTTTGTCATAATCAGTTAGGTCTACATAAGACTGAATACTAGTACACCTGTTTATTTTTAAATGAACTACACATGAACCAAATAGTGTGACCCCTGCCGAAACCAGTATGGTTCAGTGGATAGGGCATCGGCCTGCAGACCGAAAGGTCCCAGGTTCTATTCCGGTCAAGGGCATGTACCTTGGTTGTGGGCACATCCCCAGTGGAGGGTGTGCAGGAGGCAGCTGATTAATGATTCTCTCTCATCAATATTTCTAACTCTCTATCCCTCTCTCTTACTCTCTGTAAAAAATCAATAAAATATATATTTTTTAAATGTAATTAAAAAAAATAGTGTGGCCCTTTGAAATCCAGAGCAATAGTTTTCAGAGTAATAGACCCCCCAACCAGCATCACCTAGGAGCTTGTTAGAATTATTGATTCCCCTGTTCTGCTCCAGACTCTCTAGGGATGGAGCCTAGCAATGTGTAATTTAATAAGCCCTCCAAGTAACTCCAATGCACTCTAAAGTTTGAGAACCATTGATCTAGATTTTGTTGCTTGGCTTTGCTTTTCTGCTTTCCAGTATGATCTTTGACCCTGCTGATAGTCCCAAAATTATTATTTTTAATAGCTTATTGATTTTTAGAGAAAGAGGAAGGGAGAGGGAGAGAAACATCAATGTGAGAGCACAGCATCAATTGGCTGCCTCCTGCTCTCCCCCCACTAGGGTTGGAGCCCTCAATCTGGGCATGTGCCCTTGACTGGGAATCAAACTGGCAACACATTGGTGCATGGGATGATGCCCAACCAATTGAGCCACACTGGCCATGGTCCAAAATTATCTTTACTAAACCAGAGAGGTGTGGAAGGTACAGTGCAGGAACTTTAAGATTACCACTTACTATCATTATAGGCTTCATTAAGCTTTAGTTCCTATTGAAGAAATAAGGAAGCAATATCTACCTTTTAATGACTCTGCTCAGATTAGAAGATATATACATAATACACAATGCAAATACCTCCCACTATGTGACAAGCATTATGCCATTTGAATAAACCTATTTGATTAAGTAAGCTCAGATGGATCTTCATTACTTGGCAAAAAACAAACAAAAAACAAAAACAAAAAAACAAAACAAAAAAAAGAGCACTTTACATCTGCTATATCCCTTATCTCATTCCTATTTTCCTTTTAATACTTAATTCAAAATTTATTTTGTCTTTTTACGAAGTCATCCCTGGCTCACTTGTCTAGTCCAGTGTCTCTCCAGTAGGTAGCCAATGCAGAATCTTAATAGGATTACTAGACTTAGCAAATTAAAATGTAGGACACCCAGCTAGTTAAATTTGGATTTTTCATATAAAAACAATAATAATTATTAAAATAAATATTTTAATGGAAGTATGTTTAAGACAATATTTGGAAATACTTGTAAAAATACTTACTTGTGTTCAGCTGTTGTATTATATTTATAAAAAAAAAAGAGGCCCAGTGCATGAAATTTGTGCACAGGGTTGGGGGAGGAAGTCCCTCAGCCTGGCTTGCATCCTCTCGCAATCTGGGAACCCCCAAGGGATGTCCTATTGCCGGTTTAGGCCTGATCCTGCAAGGATCCTGTGGCAGTCAGACATCCCTCTCACAATCAGGGACTTCTGGCTCCTAACTGCTCACCTGTCTGCATGCCTGATTGTCCTAACCACTCACCTGCCTGCCTGATCACCCCTAACCGCCTCTGCCCTGGCCCTGCTGCTGTGGCTTCATCCAAAAGGACGTCCAGAATGACATGTGGAAGACTGTTCGGCTGCCAGGTCTAATTAGCATATTATCCTTTTATTATTATAGATTATTATAGATTATATTTATGAAAGCACTGAACTCAGCTTTAAAAAAAAAATGATTTTAGAGAGTGGAAGAGAGAGAGGGAGAAAGAGAGAGAGATGAATCAGTTGCCTCCTGAATGTGCCCTGAGATTGAATCTGCAATCTGGTATGTGTCCTGAACCAGAATTGAACCTGCCACCTTTTGATGTACAGGATGATGTTCCAGTCAACTGAGCTATACTGGCCAATGCTAAACTATGCTTATTATACTGAACTATGGGTCTTTGGTTTATTCAAATGGCATAATGCTTGTCACATAGTAGGAGGTATTTGCATTGTGTACTATGTATATATCTTTTAGTCTGAGCAGAAACATTAAAAGGTAGATATTGCTTCCTTATTTCTTCAATAGGAACTAAAGCTTAATGAGGCCTATGATGATAGTAAGTGGTAACCTTAGACTTATTCTTCATTCATTTAACAAATATTTGCTAAGGCATAGATGTCCCAAACAAATTTTGGCACTGTGTGGAAGAATGAACTGGGAAATGAAAGAAGAGTAAGCATCTAACGATGTTCATTTCACCCTGGCCATGGCATGGAGAATGGATTGAAAGGTAACAAGAGAGAATGAGGGGAGAACAATCAGCAGGCAGTGGAAGTAATCCAGGTGAGAAAGGACATTGACTTCAGCCACTAGGTTGCTAGCAGTGAAGACAAATCCTGGATGGATTGCAGATATACCGTATTTTTCGGACCATAAGACGCACTTTTTTCCCCCCAGAAGTGGGGGGGGGGGGGAAGTCCCTGCGTCTTATGGTCCAAATATAGCCTACACATATACTGTAAAAAAAAAAAAAAAGTTTTTTTACTTGCCCGGCTCTGTGTGGTCTCTGTGTGCTTGCCCGGCTCTGAAATGGTTCTAAATGCTGCTGTTTACTTTACAGGGTTGATTACATGTGTTTATAACTGTGATGTTGGGTTTTAATGCACATAAAATATTTTAGGACACTATTTGTTTCAGAATCTTTTTTTCTTCATTTCCCTTCTCTAAAAACTGGTGCATCTTATGGTCCGGTGCGTCTTATGGTCCAAAAAATACAGTACTTTGCAGGTAGAGCCTAATGTGTGGTGGTGGTAGGAGAGAATAGTCAAGCAAGAGTCACCCCAATTTTTCACGCTGAGCAACACAGTAGATGAAGATGAGGAATACTAGAAAGGATACGCAGAGGCAGAGAAAAAATCTTTTTAGTCTCAGCTACATACTCTTAAGCATTTCTTATATTAACAATAATTGTTATCATGGATATGAAAGAGATTTGAAGTTCCATAAAATACCTGGAAAACTTTATGGAAAAATCAAGTTATTTTTTCCCCTGAGAAAATAGCAGAAACAAAAGTTTAATGTAGACTTTATCATAATTCTTAGCTTTCAATGTAAGTATCTAGGGCAAGAATTGTCTGAGATTCTTTTTTAATTTTGTGAAAGCTGAACTTCAACACTATAATATTATGAGATGAATTTGAAAAAACAATAAACAAATAATAAACAAAAAATAGAAGGTAATTTGCCAGAAAACTAATAAACTTATAGGTTTATTTTAGATGATGGATATATGTGTGTTGTGTGTGTGTGTGTGTGTGTGTGTGTGTGTGTGTGCTTCTTTCTACATAGTTTTATTTCTCAGATTTTCTAAAAAGTCAAGAAAAATGAATTTATAAAGTCACATTTGTTATGTCTCTGTGTTAACAGAGAATTGCATGGTTGGAACTTCTCTGATGCTAGTAGGAGTAGGGTTCTTATATCTTGAGAAAAAGAATTATCTAAGACTCCCACAGAGAATGCGTGATTTTTATTTGCATATATCCCTTGGTTTCCAAAGTCCTCTTTCCCTTAAATCAGTCCTGGAAAAGGTGCAGCTGGGGTTACAACAGAGCTGGAAACAAAGCCAGTGTCCAGAGTTTCCGTTCCATGGTGGAGCTGAATCTGGCAGTGCATGAGGCTAATTGTAATCCATTGATCCATGGTATGTGGGGTCCACATGGCTGTAGGCCACATGAGCAAATGCAGGGGAGCACGCCCCCTACAGGGAGAGGTTTGGGACCAGAAAGGGCTAGGTGGGCCAAGAGAGCAAACTCCCTTTGTTTTGGAGTTTAAATATCAAATCTTCCATGCTTAAAGGAGCCAGGCCTATTGTGGCCAGTGGTTTGTTTCCAGATGTGATTGACATGAAAGCACCATCCCACTTCACCCAGACCTTACTGAGCATGTGTCTACTGTCCACTCTCTTCCCCCAGCAATCTGCAAGGAACAGATCTGGAGAATGTTAAACTGAAACTTTCTGGTAAAGTTGTACAAATGGCTTTCCTATATTATCTATCCTCCCCTTTGCTCCTTTCCTGCTATTAATTCATAGCTGAGTTATTTACAAAGGTATCCTATAAAGTCTATAGTAGTTCAGTCTGTACTCCTCAGTCCAACCAATTAAAGCCAATCAAATTATGATGTAAATGGCAGAGACCTTAAAACATGTGTCCTTCCAACTACACCATGCCTGATGCTAAACTAGTCAGAGTGGACTGGAGTTTAAGATGGAACGTGACTAGCCAATGTGGGGAAGCTAGGAAAACTCAGGAGTTTACGGTGTGTGTGTGTGTGTGTGTGTGTGTGTGTGTGTGTGTGTGTTTTAATTTCCTTTATTGAAATATTCTTTCCAAATTTAAGCATTTAAAAATTGCACATAGCCTTTGCTCCCCCACTTCATAAGGTTAGAAGGTCATAATGATATTCTTTGAGAAATCTCCTGGACACTTCTGACCTTTGCATTTTTCCTTTCTTTCAGGGTCAATGACTGTATCTTGCGGGTGAATGAGGTAGATGTGTCAGAGGTTTCCCACAGTAAAGCGGTGGAGGCCCTCAAAGAGGCAGGGTCTATTGTTCGGCTGTACGTGCGCAGGAGGCGACCCATTCTGGAGACTGTTGTGGAAATCAAACTGTTCAAAGGACCTAAAGGTAATAAAACCATAAATGACTCATAGTAGGACACCAGTGACAAACCATTTTGTTAAAGTTTATACTATAACCCATCTATGAAGTACTCTCTTCTTTTATCCTCCAATATTCAGTGTATAACAAGAGATCTGCAATTGTGGTTATTATAAATGGTTATCAAAACTCTAAATCTGAACTCAAACAAGGAAAGAATACATTTATGAAAGAATGTCCTTAAAAACAATAATAACAACAAACATTTATATTTTTTTCTATAAATTTTACATCCTAGTGGATCATCATGACTTCTCTGGCATATTAATATTACCTAATTTTTCAGATATTTGGAAAAATAGTAGCAATGATAATAATAATTGAAATAGTTTATCCAGCAATAACAATGATATTTTTATAACACTTATGGGTTTGTTTTGATTTTGTAATCTGTTATCCCCAAATACTAAATAACATTTTATATTTGCAATAGTCAAAATAAGTTAAAATGTATTTTTTAAAATATTCAAAAAAAATACCTCTCTTGAGGTAATTGCAGTTACCCTGGGAAAATCACATAAACAGTGAGATGAATAATTATTTTAATTTTTAGGAATAGCCCTCTAAGCTCTGCTTCTCAGAATGATGACATTTAATATTAGCTTAACAGTATTTTACATATTTTAGAAAAATCTAATAACTGGCTTAAATCCTTTAAATATTTTATTATAGAAGAGTATGAGTTTATAGTTACTATAATATTTTAGTAAATGGCTTCTCTTTCCTTTAAAATCTATTTTATCTCTAATGCAATATGCTATTGAAAATAATAGCTATACCACCTTCTCTGGGAGGCTATAGTGGGTGGGATTTAAGATATCAGAGAGCCAAACATAACTAAATTAAAAGCCTAGTTCTTTCACTTACTATCAGATTGACATTGATTGGACCAATCTCCTCATTACCAAATAGATATCATATTGGTAGAGCTATCCCATGATGTATATGAGAATTAAGTACTTAACTAATATCTGACATGTGATAAGCACTAGAGCTCGCTGGTTAAAAGTGCAGATTCCAGGGCCAAAAACTAGGTATGAACCCAAGGCCTTGTTAAAATAAAATTAAAAGCCAAAGAAAGAGGGAATAAGTGTTCATTTTACATCAAAAAGTATTGTACTTCTAGAAGCACTGATTCAGACAGAAACCCAAATAGCATTTCAATTATGAGGTGAAGGCAGGGGTATTTATGAGAAAGTAAAGGGAAATAATTACATAAACAGAAGGAAGGAATTTCTATTGGTGCTAATTATTTAGGGATGGAATTTCTATGCATACAAATAAGCTGGTTTATTTTATAACTATTCAAGGTTGTGCTAATTCTAAAGAATGTCCTTAATTTGTCCTTAATTCTAATCAAAATGTCTGGTTTTTTTATTAGCTTTACAAACAGTTGTTTGGAATATAAGGCTGGATTGGCCCAATCCCCAGGTTATTTTTCCCATTTCAAACATTCCAACAGTTTGAGGTGTTAAGACCAGCAAGGCAGTTCTCTGGGATGGTAACTTTGACTCCATTTTGAAATGTCTCCATTTATATCATTTTTCACATTTTGCAGCTTACTATTCTTTGACCTTGGGCAAATTGCTTAAAATTTCTGAGCTTTAATTTTTCTCTCCAAGAAAATGTGAATAGTAACAGTGCTTGCCCCTAGAGATGTTCTGAGGATTAGATGAGTCAATCCACATAGTGGCACAAAATGACTTCTCAATAGATATTAGCTACATTTTCACATTATTTGTAGTATTCATTGCTTCATATTTTTTGACCTTCATAACAGTTATTTGGCAGTATAATGAAAATACTCAAATTATTCATGGGGTAAATTAAAATGCATTAAAACCCCAGAATTAAATCTGAAGATGAAAAAGAAGTAAAAGAAATCATACCACAGTGTCTGCTGGTATGAAAGAAAGGACTTTCTTTTCTTACTAAACCAGATTTGCAAGGAATTCTAAAGCAGAACAAAATGAGCATCACACTATTTCTATTAAAAAGATATTATATATATATATATATATATATATATATATATATATATATATATATGGCTAATATGCTAAGTGTCCCTCCAACTGTTTGACCAGTTGCTATGATGCACATTGACCTCCAAAGGGCAGACACTCAACACAGGCGCTTTCATGACACACACTGGCCATTTAAAAAGAAACGGCACCAAGGACCTGGTGCCAACAAAGCAACATTTGGCTTCCCCAAAGTGGAACACAGGCCCACCACCAGCCCAGAGAAACAGCCCACTAAATCACAGCCAATGCTGCTGAGACCCCAAAATTCAGCCCACAGCCCAGCCCAGAAATGGTTGCTGTGGGTGCCAAGTAATGACAGCATGTAACAAAGCCCAGCTTCCTCTCCCTAGCGACTAGTCTCCTTAGATTTTTTTTTTCAGCCTAAGAACACAACTTGCTTTATAGCTAGTGCAAACATTTTACACTTTAACCAGTATCTGTGAACTGTTTCCCATGTTTGATCCTCACAGAAGTCCTGGGGTAGGTAGATAGGAGACCCAGAAGAATCCTATTTTCTTTTCATTAGCCAGAAAATGGAAATTTAGAAAGCTTAGAAACTTGACCCAACTAAAAAGAAGTAAGAAACGATGGACCTTGAAAATGACTTCAGGTTTTCTCACTGCACAGAATATAGTCAAACACTGCTGCAGTTAAATATTTTATCCTTTGTTCTCCCTGTGTGATCTATAATAATAATCTGTTTTGTGTTGATGTTTACTTCTGGGTTGCTGACAATTACCTGAAAAAGAAGTTGGGGTGCTTCACTGGGCTGGAAAAATGTATAGCTACATCAGAAAGTCTAAGCAAGTTTTATATATATAGTATATGGCTAAGTTGACTAATACAAGCAGGATACATAGAAAGCTATTGCTGGGGGGGCGGGGGGGAGCTATTGCTGGTACCAATCGCATGCGAATGTGTTCAATCTGTCATTGTTGATGGTGAATTTGGTTGACACTTCTATTTTAGATAAAGGGCAAAAAGCAATATCAAAATATTTCTTCTAGTTAATTTCCTTTCCATGTGCACAAATCCATGCAGTGGGCCACTAGTACATAAATAATGTGTAGCTATTTCTACAGTTCAATTACCAGCAATTATTCAGCACAGCCCTAAGGCAAATACTAGTTTTAAGCTCCCAGCAAAGCATTAGCATTCATTAGCAGGCTTCTGTCTAGCTGAGTCACTTGATGACCTCCAGCTGCTCAGCATAGCACTTAAAGGCTCTAGAGAAATCCATAGACAGAACTCTTTAATTTTATAAGGAACATTTTTTTTTTAATCTTTGATAACAGGGTCCCTCTAGCTGGTTTACTTGGCTCTGAACTGTTTTCTCCTTTGATCCTAGAGTGCAGTGGGAATTAACCTAGGTCATGGAACTGTACACAGATAAACTTGAATCAACCAAAAATACCAAGGCACTCACCCAATGGCAGTACCCAACTTAGGGGCCATGGGGTTATACCTGGCCTTGGTTTACTGAGACAAGGAGAACAAGAAAACTGAGAACTAGATATATATTCTCAAAAGCAGATGACTGCCAAATCCTTACAAAGTGGGGTAGTTCTGTTGGTCCTACTGGGATTGTGCTGGGCCAGTGATGCTTTTTTGTACTGTCACCATACAAAGGTCACGGATGGGAATGTGTTATTCTATATAAAGCTTATTGATGTATTGGGAAGGTAGCTGTTTTGGTCCTTGTTTAAAGTCCTAATGCCTATTACAGTGTCTTAAATTCAGGAAGTGCTGAATCAGAGTAAATTGAATAATTAAATTGGATGCTATCCTAAATCTGGTGCTCCTTACAATCTTATCTTCACTTGGCACCTGCAGTTTTTTATTTTTGAATGACTATATATTTAAAAGGGATTTTTACAAAGGGGTTGTATGGAGGACATCTCTAATAATGTCAACATTAAAAATAATATTTTTTTGAAAAAAGACATTGTTACCAATGTTTAACTCATATCATGGAGGCTCTTCTGCACTGTCGGGGATGAAACTGTATCAATGTGATTCTGATGAGAGAATCAGAAATTTCTAATGGGAAAGAGAGACATAAAGTCAACTCACTTTAATGCAAGCAGAATGAAATCAGCTCTGTGATAAAGTTTACTACGTATTATTCCAGGGAGGCAAAAAGGAAGATGCAGTTTACCTTAACCAGGAGAGACAAAAATCCTTCAGAGAATTTAAACTTAATGCAGCCACAGGTGCTCATCTGCCTTTATTGGGTTTTGCAGGTCCAGGTCAGCCTCCACCTGTGCCCTTCCCCTGGGTCACCCAGCATGACTTACAAAGCGTTCTGTGCAAGGTTGCAAATTGTGCTAGACTTTGAGTTGTCCAGGGGAGACCAAGCTGCAAATCAAGGTTTGGGGTCTCTTGCCAGGAAGCATAGGCATGCCAAAGCCAGATGCTGTTTTTTGAGAGATTTTAGTTAAGTCTGCAGCATGAGCCAAGACATTCCATTTTTATGCAAGAGCCAACTGGAACTGGCTTGGATGACCTGACAAGTTGGTGGTGTGGGGTCTCAGGTATCATAATTACCAGGCCTGGGCTAACAGTGTCTATGGAGTCTCAGGTACGGTGCCCACCTGCCAGCTCTATTGAGGGAGGGCTCAGCAAAGGAACAATATCCTCTGCCAACATGTCTGTCTAGGAGAAAGCTGCCCATCCAGCCAGACAATCCAGTTCATTCTCAGATGCCCCTGTTACCTTTTGAGCTACTGCTCTAATGCTGAATTTCAGAGTGAGTGAGTCTAAGTCCCTGGCATAGGACCTTTAAGAGGAACTGCCTGGGTATGTGACCAGCCCATTCTGAATCTCCATCTCTCCTGCCAGTCTTGATGTGGTTGTTCTTTATATTTTTAGTTATAGGACTTCTGTTGAGTTAGATTCCAGGTGGTTCTCAGCAAAGGTTGTTCTATAGTTTAACAGTAG